GATTTAATTAAATTTTAGATTATATTTATATCTTCTATAATTACATTTTCTTAAAGATACATGTAAAAATAAAAAACAAAAAATTGATAACTATTTAAGTACCAATGGCATATAAAAGAAAATTTTACATAATAAATAAAAAGATCAATTTAAAGAGCAAGAAAAGGACTTCTCCTTGAGAAATAAAAAGAGAGAGGGACACGACTATACTTTCGTATCGTAGGTTTATGGAATACCAGTTGTTTCCGAGAGTATAAATATTGGGACTCAAATAATAATTTTATAGAAGATCGAGGACAAAACGTATATAGTGAACCAGTTTTACGGCTCAGCCCAAATTGAACGTTGGGTTGGGTTCAGTTTGAGTCGAGACTAGAGAGTCCAAATTCTTAATCATAAATGGGTTTCTTTTTTTTTTTTTTCCCAGATTTTGGATCCCGTGGGCTGTTATTATCTACATGCCTGGCCTTTAGACGACACAGCAGGCGGCAGCGGCGCGAGCGCAGGACTGCAGGAGCGCAGCACCGTCCCCTCCGTCGAGGCGGCGCCACCAGGATGGGGAAATGCTTGAAAAGAAATCTTTTTAGTTTTTATTAATAAGTTGTGTGACTGAAAATAACTTGTGCAAAATGAAATTCATAAGAATCACAAATTCTTTCTTTTTTTTTTTTCCAAAATGAATAGAGGAGTTCTGCGAATACTCTCTTATACTTTATACATAGATTTAAAAAATAAATACTCGCATAATGTAAACTTCTTTCCTTCTTCTTCTTTTTTTTTCATTTGTCAAAATTTTGAATCAAAATTATTTTTAAAAAGTTATGAATTACACAAGACAATTCTCTTTTATCTCATTATTATCTATATTAAATGCATGCTTACAATTCCAATATTTTTTTTAGCTAGTTAAGTGTATCTAAATTAATTTATGTATATCTTAATTCTTAATACTAAATTATCATCGATTTCATAAAAAATGAGTTATATATATTAAAAATTAAAACATTTATAAAAAAATTACTTCTTTATTGATCTCCCTAAATAATCTTAGTCAACAATGTGGATTAAATCTTTTTTCATTGGACTCCCCAAAAAATTGAACACAGTTAATTAAGTGGATTAAAATCTAATCAATTATTCTATTTGTTCTAAATAATTGTCATTTTTCTTATTTTAAATTTATCTCAAATTAATTATCATTTTTTTCAATTTTTTTAAAATAAATATTTTTATTTTAATTCTATTATT